TGCAATGCTTACAAAATTTTTGCATAGAGTGTGCAAGGATTGATGTTACTTAAAACAAAACTAAAAAGCTCTTCCTCTTACATCACACCCAAACCCAGAGAAAAATAAACCCAAAAATAACCCAAAGGCTGAACTCAATTGCTTTATGGGAATGGGGTTCCTTTTTCAAAATCTCCAAGCAAATGGGACTTCTACGACCTCATCTTTTCTATTAAAAGCACCAGAATCTGGCTTCTCCAGGAGTGTATCTAGCCAGCACAATGATGGATGTCCTCTACCTTTGCCTTTTAAAACATGCCCTCCTTAAGGGATGTGCTTCTCCTTCTTTGTGTCCTCAAAAAGGGAGAAACTTGACTGAGGATGTGGCTAATGCATAAAAACTCCATCCCCCTACTCACCAAAACACTGGATACAAATTAGGTTAATTTTGTGTCCACCCCTAATTCAGGTGTGCCAACTCTTCCCTGTACTTTGCTTACATCTCCCCTTCTTAACAGAGAACCTGATTTCTGGCTCTGGTGATGTTTGTTCCCGGAGACTCATTAAGGGTACCTGTTTCCGATTTGCCAATCGGACACATAACACCAGTAAAAGAAAATTCCTGAATGACTTACCCTAAGACAGGGTTTTGACATTTTTGAGCTCATGCCTTTACTCAGGTTTTATAGGGTGGTTGAGCCAGAGGAGTATTATAGGACCATGGCTGGCACTGGGGCTGTTGTCTGTTGGGTTACAGTGGGAAGCTCTGTCTCCAACCCCCAGTGGATCACATACGTGCTGCTGAGCAAGCAAGAAAAGCAGGATGAACCCCAGTCTCTCTGCTGCTGTGGTCTCTGAGCTCTGGGTGGGGGCAGAATGACACTAGGACCTTAACACAGGCACACTGCTTTATAACCTGTTCAGATGGTTCCTGGCTGAGTTAATTCTTCAAAATGATTTTAGGTCTTTTAACTCTTACATATCAAACCCTAGTCCCTTTGCTCAGAAGATGAAAGTGCTCCAAAGCCACCAAGTTGTAAGGAACTTCAGATGTACTCATCTTCTCCTTTAGTAGCTGGAATGCCACCAACCTCATTGCTGAATCTAGGACACCAGTTAAAATCTATAGGTTCAAGGTTAAAGGGAGCCACTGTTTAGACAAGAATTGGCAAATGGGTCCTATTTCCTATTCCAATCAATTGGTAGTGATGGCCTGAATGCTTTGGCAAGAAGAATTTCTGCTCATGGAGAGGGGTATGGCCCATTAGTGATGATTGACAAGGTATGGGGTATGGTTCTCAAGCTATTATTAGAGCCAACGTGGCCAGCTTGGGTATTGAATGCATAATGCTGCGTTCTTGATAGTCCTATATTCTTAAAGGGAAATAGGGACAACAGAGACTGAGCTCCCTTATACTTGATTCTTCCCATAAGTTTTGCTACAAGTAAAGGTCAGGAAGTAGGATAACCAAGGCCTGACCTAAAATAAGATATTTGTCTTTTGAAGTGAGGAATAGGAGAAGGAGATGTATGTGTGCAGAAATGCTGGCTTGTTTAGCGCATGCCTATAGATCACTGAGTATTACAATTTTCTCTTAAATGTAAGGCTGACAACCCAGGCATCTTTCAATTTGTAAGGACAAGAAGTCTGACTTAACAAGGATCGCACACAAACAAATTTTTTTTTCTGGTTCCAGATTCTATTGTTCAGACAGATCACTTATATTTTCACTGCAGGTATCTCTACTTTAGTACTAGATGCTGTCATGGATGAGAGACTATAAAGAGAAGGGACATAAAAGTTTTATATCCTCATCGAGCCAAGAAGGTCTAGTCTCAAAGCTGGTAGGAGACACTTCTCAAGAGCTTGAAAAATAGTTTGACATGTTGATGACTTCATTGCATAGTGGGTTGGAGTTAGACCCACATCCTAGCTCTGCCATTATCTAGCTAGTGGCTTTGGGCAGGTTTCCTAATCTCTTTAAACCTCAGTTTCCACATCTGTAAATTGGAACTATAATAGAATTTAACTCAAAGGATTGTGTTGAGGGTGAAATAAGTGAATGCACATAAAACACTTAGCACAATGCCTAGCATATAGTGCTTAATGAAAATCAGTTAAAAATTATTATTGGAGAATAGAATCCAACTTTTGCCATATCTTAAAGTAGGCTTCAGGTTCAAGAAAATTGCTTTGATTTTATGTAAAATTTTGTGGGTGCGATTCTTGGGGAGAAGGTTGAGAACTTTGCTCAGACTCTCAAAAGAACCTATAACCCCCAAATTTAGAATCTCCTGAATTGGATGAATATGGGGACTGATACACCAGCATCTTCCTTGTCAACAAATACCATCCTCCTGCCTTAGGACACTCCTTTGCTATACTGCTCCTATGTAACCTAACTGATCAGCTGGGGATTTTTCACATGATGAAGTCTGAGCTAACTCTGATTCCACCAACATAACCCAAATGTAGAAGGAGGCTGTGAAGACATTGGCAGTAGAAGGACTACTAGCCTAGTACGTGAAGAGTAACTTTGAGGTAAAACAGATGTTTCCGTCTTCATGGTTGCTGTATTTACCTGACCTCAGCTAGCGCTCAGTGATGAAACCAAACCCCCTCATTTGCTACTGAGGGTGTCTACATGCCTAACGGGGCATTTTGGGCTACTCTGGCTTCCTATTCCATAGACAGGTGGATTTGGACTCTAAATATATTTTTTGCCTACAGCAAGTTCTCCTTTGTTCTAGTCCAATTGCCAAACTCACAGATGTGGAACTGCTATTAGCACTTGCTGAGCTGTGATGGAGGAGGAGCAGTGAGCATTGCTGTTGGGACTGTAGAGACTGTTTAGTGATGGATTTGATACCGTCAACACTGTTAGGACATCACACCGCCTCTTGCATCAAAGGGCTCAGCATTCTGGGATTGCTCTCTTTTCTCAAAGGAAGATGCTAACTTCTTACTCTGTCAGGATCTGTAACAGGAAGAGCGTGTGTGTGTGTGTGTGTGTGTGTTTATGGGGGGGGGGGCAGGTAAAACCAAAGCAAATAGTATATGTGAGCTTGGGTCACCCTAAACTGGAGATTTTTCTTTCACACTTGTGCTCTAACAATACTCAAAACAAGGACTTCCCGCAAATAGTGATTTTCCCTTTGCCATTCAGCCCTGCCTTGAGAAATTTCAAGGACTCCGTTATGAAGACAGCTTTTAAGAACTGTAGAAATCCCATTGCTTTTCAAAGTGCTAATGTGTGTGGTGTGGTGTGCTGGCTGAAGCAGCAGGCTTCAGACTGCTTTATCTCTCGTCAGTGGGTTTAGCTTTGTGAATGAGAAATTCAGAGGCGACTGTTTAATTTTAAATTCAGATTGCCACAAAGAAAGAGATGCATCTGACATCCCAATGCAGTAGTTTTGACTATTTTAATGGAAATATGTTGGAAGTGAGGGAACCTTCCCCCGAGGAGGAGAAAGTGATGAGAGACCAAAAGAGAGACATTTTTATCTTTGAGATAAAAGGTGTGTTTTCTAAGGTTGTTTCTTTTATTATAACTCCCCCCCCCCACCTGCTACTGGGCCACCATGCAAATGTATTATTCCAGGAACTGCTTTGTTATCCTTTTTGTGCCTAAGATTTCCTGGTGCATGGGAAAAAGAGCGAAGGGTCTTGTCTTGTTTACAACTTACTTAAGTGAGATTCTCACCTTTCACAGAGCCTTACAAAATAAGGATCAGGTGCTTACAGGGATCTGTTCACCTCTGTGGTCCAAACATCGTGCTACCTTTTGCCTAAAATCGACAAAAGCCAGATACTCTCATGTAGCTGCTTCTGTGGATGGCAGTGTTGCCAATTTAATCCTCTTTCGGTGGAATCCAGATAAAATGCAAAAGGGCTCTTTAAGTGACGTTGATTAGGGTCTGGTAAATGGTGGTGGTTGTTTTCATTAAAAAAAAAATATTTTCTGACACGAACACTCATGCTAACAAAGACTCATTCATTGCTGATGCTGTTTTAATAATATTGGATATAAGTATGGATTTAGCAGTAGGGATGTTGACTGAAGGGACAAATCTCTGGTAGGCACTTGCCTTATGACACAGGCAGAGATGTTGGAATTTAAAATAGGTCTTTTTTTTTTTTTCTTTTGCATTCCTGCTATACCATAGAACAAGGATCCAAATTATTGGAAACAAAATCAAACTGGCATTGATCTGGTTTCCCCACTAAACACCTTCAAAAAAGATGTTTACTGTATTTTTTCTTCCTACATATTTTAAGATGCTGCTTCCAGTATTTCTCCCCTCCCCCCAATATTTATTATTCTTCCAATATTATTGTCCCATGAACCCTTCAGGCCGGGTGGGGACATAGGGATGGAGAATGCACTGGAGGTGTAAATAACTGAGTTGATGGATGTCCACAGGGCCTGTTAGGTCAAAAATATTCTCTGGAGGACCATGGAATGAGCATCTTTCTGGAATATGTGATGGTGAGGTGGAAAACCTATGACATTGCAGAAACGGTCCCTTCAGGAGAAAGATTCTAAATTTAAATAATAAGACCTCTGCTTCTCTTCTGACCCTCCAAGATACTGACCCGAGGAACCACCCCTCTATTAAGGGTCCTAAGAAAAAAACTCTTGGAGGATCACGGCTTTCCTTTTGCACTAAGTCTTCCCCTGATTCCATCCTCCTTTTCCCCAAGAATCCTGTGAACCTGCATTTCTCAGATAAGCGGATCACTTTTACGCATAACATAAGGCTAACCTTTTTTCTATAGGCAAGTATTTATATTCCTAAGCACACATAGAAATGTAGGGTGACTCCATGCTACTGTGGAGTTTGCTTTCTTTCCAGCTGTGTCCAACACATAGCACAAATGATCTCTATGTTGGGGTCGGCAACCTTTTCTGGAAAGGTCCAAATAGTATTTTATGCTTTTCAGGCCATGAGGTCTCTGGCACAGTTACCCAACCTTGTTGTTATAGAATGAAATCAGTCACAGACAACATGGAAATGTGTCTGTGTTACAAGAAAACTTTATTTACAAAGACTAGTGATGAGCCAGGTTTGGTCTAGGGACCACAGTTTGCTGACCCCTGCTCTAGAGTTAAACTTTAAGCAATCTTTGGTCTATGGCTGCTGGATATACAATGAAAATCATCCAAAGGAAATTGACCTAAAGGGAGTTAGAGCCAATTCAAGTTTATAAGATCTATCCCTTGGGTAAAGGAACAATTAGAAAGCCTCATACCAAGTTTCTACCTACAGAGATGTCACCATAAGGGCTTTTGAAAACCTTTGTCATATGCTAGCAGTTTCTTAAGACTGAACTTTTATGACTTATTGAACAGATAACAAATAGAACTGAGTGCTAAACATATTTGGAGATCACTTTTTAATTTTTAAAAATCTTCTGAAGACTATTAGCATACTAGAACTTCTAGAATATTGATTCACTTGAACTCTTTGTTACGCCACCTGCTGTTTAATATACTGGAGTGTGATTGTCTAGAAGATATTATATATAGAGATTAGAAAGAACCTCACTTTTTAAAATTAAAGTTTATCAGATTTTAATGTAAAAGATATTTTTTTTTCCCAGAATTAAAACTCTCTCATGACCATGGACAAATATTCTAGTTGGAGGAAGTTGGGAGAACAAAATGTACATTGAGGAACTCTGAATGCATTTTACTGACTTCTGTAGTCTGAACTGAAATACATAATTTAGTCCATGCCAAGTTTCCTGCCTATTAGCTGGTTTATTGTAGTCACTTAGTACAAATGAAAATCAGAATTTTTTTTATCATGTCTGTTCCCCATAGGTGTTTGATTTCTATTCTTGGCTTGCTATTATTATTTTTATCTTATTTGTGATCTGATTACCTTTAGGATTAACGTCTGCAAGTGGGATCACATCACTCTTTTTTATTGGCATAAAATCCCCAAGGTGCTGATCTCAGACTTGCTTATGATGATTAGAACAAAATCAGAGGAAAGAGGTTCAGGGAACCTTTTGTTTTCTTGTCATCCATAGATTATGTACTTGAGATGGCAAAAGGCAAAGATGGGTCTGTCTGCTTAAAAACATTTTGTGTTAAGGTATTTAGCCATGAAGGGCCTCATAGCTACTACTGTTTGTCTCAATGACATGGGGTAGATGTTCCTCATAGCCAAGGGGGGCCTCTGCTATTTGGCAAAACCCCGTATGTAGTACCTGCAGATTGTGGTAGTATGATCCTACAGGATATAAATAATACCAAACCAGAGCAACTTGATTCCTTCTTAGGGTTTTCCTTTTTAGACTTTACTGCTACTGACTAAGTAGCCTTGCCCTTGAACAACTCAATTCTACATGGGATACTGAGGAGGAGTGACTGGAGGGAGTATGGGATCTGGAAGCCAGCGGGGCCACTGGTCAGGCTAGGAAACCTCCCCCTCTCCGGCCCCCACCCTCTCCTAAGTGACTAAGTGACACACAACTTGCTTTCATATCCTTTGTAGACTCAGCCTACAAAGCTTGAGTGTCCTCTCAAAAATATCAAATCTCTTATTCATTTCCTATGACCAATCTTCCCCCACTTGTGAAGTAAGAAAAATTAAAACCTTGTTGAAGAAAACACAAATGCCATTCAGGTCTACAAATACGACCTCATTTAGGGTTGTGGGGCCGCTGCTTGCCAAATGGTGTCCGGGACTATCTAAGCCGGTTACGCCTCCATTTGGGCTCCTGAGAGTCCACTTCTGTCAGCCACTGTTTTGTCTACCAGCTTTTAAGAGGCCCACTCATGACTAAACCGTTTCCCTCCAATCACCCAAAATAAACTACAGTTGTAACAAGATAAATAGGATGTGCTTCTCCTTGCTGAGTGCATTGACTTAAGGCATAGGCACATTTCCCCCTCTTTGAACAGAGACGGTGTAATCCCCTGTCCCAGCACAAGAGCTGGCCAGGGTGACCCTGTAGCACGATGATGAAGGTGGAAGGATGAGAGGTAGCTGATGGCGGGAACGAGGGAGCTGCTTCCACATACCAAGTAGTGGTGCTGCTGGGCCATGGGAGCACAGCGAGTCCGAGAGAGACACATGGCTCAGTTTATATTAATTTCCAGTGACCATTTCCGGGGGCATGTATTTCACATCTGTGATTCTTGGGTCACTATTCTTGGGAGAAAACATAATGGTGGATTTAGGAATAGGAATATCCCAACAACAAATATATATATATATTATATATATATATGCATGTATATATATATACATATATATATATATGTATGTATATATGTATGAAGATGGAAGCCAGAGTTTGTGCATGCCTTTAGAAATAAAAGGCAAGTCTCTAAATTACCTACCAGTCCCGAGATACATAGAAAAATTAATTAGGTTTTCTATGCTCCTCTTAATTAGGTTTCTATCCCTAAATGGCTTCTCTTCAGGTGGGGGTTCCTCTCTTGAGGATTGATGGACAGGATTTTGACTGACCTGATCATTTGGGGCTGGAGTCTGCTGGATAAAATCAGAAGTGAGGATGAGACCGATTCTGAGCCATTTTTTCCTTTAAACAGAGACACATCACCCATTTATTCTTTGCCTGTCAGGCCACTGAGTAGCTTCCAGCCGACTGAGGAGCAGCTGTTACCCCATTTTGTGTTGATTTACAACTCCTATTTTGACTGTGGGATAATAGGTGATTTTTGAAGGAAGATAGCAGGAGTTGGGTGAGCAGTTCAAACTTTGCTGAACCTCATCCCCCACATTCATCCAAAAGCCCCAGTACATTTGGCTATGAAGGCAGAAGAGCCATTTTGTGTTCCTACAGCTGACTTCTATGGCACTGCCCCATCCCTCACTTGAAGAGGGGGAAATGGGCCAGCCTTCCTAAAGCTAAAAATGGAAACGAAATGTCTATTTCAATATGAGGGTCTCAGTGCTTGAGCGTGACTTGGAGATTCCCGCCATCACTGCCCTGTAATGACACTAAAGGGGAAGATATGCGGCTCCTCAAACATGTTGGTGAATATTCGGTAAGTGTCCGATACACTGTGTGATTTTTGAAGGGTTTGGGGTATTGGGCCTGAATCAGTATTTTGATCTTATCATGTAGGTGGTGGGGTTGACATGGAAATGATGGTGGATATCACAGGGTCACCCATGGTTCCTTTTGTACTGAAACCTCATTTTATACAGAGGATATATATATTTATTTATATCTATTTATATATATTTTATCCACCCACACACATACACACACACACACACACACACACACACACACGCACGCGTGCACACACACACGCGCACACGGTCTTTGATAGGCTTTCTGTGTTCTAGTAAAAATAGCTGGCAGCCAGTATCTAAAGACAAAAACGGCCTTTATGCTGCCGACAATGTTCACTATGGATGGTCTCTCAAAGGCAGACACTTGTGTTTATCTGACAAGTGGAACCAGTTCCTGCCTGGGACAGGAATAATCTCCCATTGGCGCAGACGCAGATCTCGAAGACCTTCTGCCTCGTTCCTGTAGGCGTGTAGGATCCGTGAGGCAGTCTAGGTAGTTGGATTTTCGCAGCATCTAACTTAATCTAAAGAGAGCGAATAGGAAGGAAAGAGTAGTTAGAAGCTGCCATTTATTCTCTTGACATTCAGAGACAGGAGATGAATGTTCAACCTAAATGAGCACCTACTATGTGTTGAGTATTCTAGGCACTGAGAATTCAGGGATGAACATGACAGATAAAGTCTCTACCCTCACAGAAGCTTATATTCTACCAAGACAATGTCATGCTGGTCTATATTAGCAAAAGTGTGCAAAGGTATATCAGGTAGAATATGAACTGAGTCCCAGAGTGAAATGCATTTGGAAATGCTGGGTTAACCATTTCTTTACTACGGGCCTTCAGACTCTCAGCTAGGTCTGCGTGCATAGGAAGACTCCAAGAATATGCAGTACTTTCCAGTCTTAAACGACTGGTAAGATTATAATCAATTCCTCCAGAGGCCGGATTCTGAGAGCTATAATCTGCATAGGTAATGTAGTCACTATTTCTAAATGTGTGTGATTTGGAGTTTGTAGCTGTTTGAAGACACCATTTTGATAAGAGAATGCTTTATCTGAATAGCTCTTCTAAAACAAATGTAGCAAATGCCAAACCAATCAAAAGGTGGATTTGTTGCACACAAGCAGGTGGAGATGGATAACCTCTAAGCAGATATGAAAAGTGGAATAGAGTTTTGCTTTAAAAAAATACAAAGCTTTTCCTCTATTTAAAAACTCTTAAATTGGAAGGTTCACTTCTGAATGTGATGAAGACATTTTTAAAAGTTTGCAGTTTAATCCTACTTTCTTGGGATTTGGCTTACCGTGTCTACACAAGGGCAAGCAGCTATTCTGTTCACCAAAGTGGGATTATGTCGGGTAGAAGAAGGAATATGTGCAGTCCTCCATCCTCTCGTTGCCTACTCTACCCTATCTTAGTTTTGCCTTGTCCTGATTGGGCATAGCTGCTGGCTCCCACTCCCCATTCTCAAAGTAGTAACATACAATGTAAACTTTAAAAGTGACTATGAGTAAATTATGTTCAGCTTGAACCAGATGCACGTGATATACAGCTTAATTAGGCTGGCTACGTAAATCTTGCTTTTGGGTGAGAGACAGAATTCAGAAGCAGCATTCATTTTCATAGCCATGTGCATAATTCTGTCGTTGTAGTATATGCTATTACGTCAGCACTTTACAAATAATGAGTCATCGCTCCTACATGTTGTGGGTTAGGCTTATAACTGTGCTGTTCGACATATTTGTTCCGGACATAAAAACTTCTGATTGGCTCCTCTTGTTAGAAATGCAGGATCCACTTTGGTGCTAAGGGAGTCTGGGAAAGTTGTGGGGAAGGTTGGCTTGTTGGCGCTGTGTCTCTCTGGACCTACATCCATCTCACCCCTACCTCTCCATCTTTGGACTCCAGCCTCAGCTCGGTTCTGCAGGTGGCTTCCATATTGCCGGCTTCTGCATTGATTTCAACTCCTTTGGGGGCCTCCATCACCAGAGACCGGGTCGGGGACTCCAACCTGAAATACCCACAAGATGAAGATTAAAAACTCCATTTCATTTTTTTTTTTGGTAAATTTGAGAAGCAGTTGCTGCTCAGAGCATTGACACAAAATGGCATTTCAGTATTTGATCAGGAAATCTTTCCAGCTTTGCTTTACAAACCTGGTCAAGTTTTTCAGGGAGGAAGTAACCTATCTGGGCCTTATCTTCACAGCATATTGAAAAGATTGCAGGAAAGGTGTTCTAGGATCCTGGCTTCATTTTATCTTACATCTACTCAATTATTGCTTTATTGGTATAATTAGCCAAATTCTTACATAAGTTTTGTTTATTTTTGGAGTAAGGCGATCTCGAGTCTCAACTGCACTTTCTGAAATTGGTAGATATTCCTTCTACTTTGTCAAAAGAAGCAGAATCAGATAGAGTTTTAAAAAGAGACCTAGGAGTTAGGCAGGCCTGACTCAAGCCCTGGGACTGCCATACTCTGACCTCGGCAAGACTCTTCGTCCCTTCCAAAAGTTCTCAAAGTCTCAGTTTTCTCATCTATAAAGTGCCTCAGATGGTGCTTGCCACATTGGAAATGCATTATACGTGTTAACTATTGCCATTACTGCTGTTACTATTGTTAGTATACCAGCAAATCATAAAGAAATCTCAGGCCTTACTCAACTGGTTGTCAAAAGAAGAGAGGAACAGATCATTGGTTGCTGGGGGATGGAGAGGGTAAGGGATTTGACGGCAAAGGGGCAGCATGAGAAGGAGAGGTTCTGGTGATACAACTATTCTGTATCTTGACTGCAGTGCTGGTTACATGGCCCTCTGTGTTTGTGAAAACTCACATAACTGTACCCCCAAAGAGTGGATTTTCTTATATGTAATTAAAAAAGGAGAGAAGGTGAATCAGCTACACTCCATGTTAATTATGATGGCAAAACAGGCTAATACTCCTTAGAAAGATCTTTGCCTAATGCATTTAATGGGGAAAATGTTAACCATGCCCTGAATAGTCTTGATTTTAATATTATTGTCAAATAGCTGTGGATGAAGATCCTCTTCTCTGTTCACAAAGGAGGTGTCCTAACGTAGGAAGCACAGACTCAGCATGGCTCTCAAACGGCTCTGATTCAGACGAGTTTCCTGTGTTTTATTTGTGTGTCCCCAACTTCCAGACACTTAGAACATGTTAACGAGGAACAACATCCTCTCTGCCAGCTTCCACCACTCCTTACCAACCCTCTTGGGTTTCACTAAGTGTCAGGAAGAGCTGACCAGTAGGGACACCACCACTGAGCTACCCCAAGTCCCACCCCACAGGTGCCAAGAGACAGCTCTTCACACTTCTCCACTGGTGTCTGCATTTCCCCTGCAGTGACTCAACCAGAGTCCCAAAGAGGAATGACAGGTCTATAGTCGTGGTGAAAGACTGGCTTGAACTTCTGCTGAACTCATTCTTTCCTTTCTGACCTCACCCCTTGTAATGGCAAAAATCCCCCTTCCCTACTGGCTCCTCACAAGACCTTCACCAAGGGGATGCTGAGCTGGGGTGGTTCTGCCTCTAATTACGCTTTACTTCATTTGCACGTGGTTTCTCTCATGAAACCATCAGTACAAGGGGGGAGGGTCTTTTTTTTTTTTTTTAAAGATTTTATTTATTTATTTGAGAGAGAATGAGAGAGAGCACATGAGGGGGGGAGGGTCAGAGGGAGAAGCAGACTCCCTGCCGAGCAGGGAGCCCGATGCGGGACTCGATCCAGGGACTCCAGGATCATGACCTGAGCCGAAGGCAGTCGCTTAACCAACTGAGCCACCCAGGCGCCCGGGGGGAGGGTCTTGACACCGGAGCAATAGGGAGTGACGTCTGTGCAGTGCAGTCTTGCCTCGGACCGTCATCCAACTCAGTTCAGCTCCTCCCATGCTCTTGATCCTCTCACTTTTGAAACATGAGGGTGCTTTTGTGCTATTTTCTTTGTTTTTCTCCCACAAAGTCTGGCTGGCTTACACAGTTTATCCTGCATTTTCTAACGTCTTCGGTTTTTACTCAGGTGGATACCTCTCCCCTTATGGTGTAAGTTTCCCTTCCGGTAAGATTTCTGCTCAGCTCCAACTTTGTTCACCTTCTTCTCAATGGTGCTGCTGTGTCATCCACCCTGCCCAGGTGACAGTCCTCATGCCATCTTCTCTTTCCCCTTCTTCCCTCTCTTATTTGACCAGTTAACTTACAACTTCTCCCTACTCAGTGTACTAACTCATCTCTAACCTGGACTGTTCGAGTGCCTCACACATTTCGTCTCTCATTCTTCCTTTTTGCCTGTGTACTTCACACATGAGTCTGTTTCCTGAAGTACATTGGGAATATGTCCCTTCTCTTCTCAGTAGGTGCCGGACACTGCACCAGGTGCTTTATATGTAGTATCTCATTTAATCCTCACAAAAGTCCTATGACTTCGGTACTCTTAGTCTTGATTGTGCCCACAAGGACACAAAGGTAAGAGACTTGCCCAGGGTTGTACATCTAGTAAAAGGGCAGAGGCAAGCTTTGAACCCAAGTTTAGCCAGTATGTTATCTACTACATCTTATCACTTCCAGAAAAATTGGACTTCTTTCCTGTCTATCTTCACACTGTTCTTTGCAGTTAAAGGCCACCTTTTCATGGAATTAGCGCCTGTATTTCCAAAACCAGTATCTGTCAATAAGGGGAGGGTGTAAGTACTGCGTTTGGCTCAGGGATGCAGCCTTCCCAGCACGCAATATTTCTCACACCCTAACTGACATCAGTGACATCAAATTCAGGATAGGGTGAGTGTGTCCGTATTTGGTATGTAGCACTCACACTGAATTGATTCATACAGAAAGATAGCTGGGGTAAAAAAAGAGCTTGACGTAGAAAAAAATGTACGGAGCTAGGAGAACTTTATCAGATGAAGCACCGGCATTTCAGACAGGCATTAGAATTCACTTACTCTTGTTCACTTCTGTGGGCTCTGAGATCAGCAGGAGGGCTCCAGGGCCAGAGAAGTAGCTTCAGAATGGCTGCTGTCTTTTTCCTCCTCTCAGCCTTGGAAGTACTAAGTTGCTGAGAAAGGGAGCTACTCTGAAACTGCTATTGTGAAAAGCTACAATAAGGTAGAAATGACAATTTCTTGAAGCAGAGACAAAAAGGTAACTGTTTCCCAGCCTATCTTAACGTCTTTTGCTGTTAGGCAGACTTAATAGTTTGTTAAGATAGATATTCCTTACTGTTAATGTTCATTTTCCCATTGTGGAAAAAAGCTCCTACAAGAGCCCCGTGGGGCCTGCACAGAGCAGGAGGACCGCTCCTGTGAGGTCAACTTCCGACCCTAGATAACCAGTCACAGCACAATGGCTAAAATGGCCTTGAGCAAGAAAAAAATGGGAGGAGGCTCCCTTCTGATGGGGGGCAGCTGAGGGTCCTGCTGGCTCTTGGAAAGGAATACTGCTTCCATTAGAAGAGAGTGTAGCCCTCTTATGGCAGGACTGAAAAAGACTCAGAATGGAATAATGACCAGGCCCGGAGGCCCTGGGGTTGGGCCAGGTCCTCAACAAGAGTTCTCGAAGGTGAGCATCAGAATCCCCTGGAGGGCTTGTTAAAACACAGACTGCTGGCCTCCACCCCAGAGTTTGGATACAGTAGATCTAGAGTGGGGCCTAAACACTTGCACTTGTGGCAGGTTGAAGCTGCTGGTTCTGGAACCACACTTTGAGAACCACTGTTCTAAAGCAAAGGTCATAAGCTCAGGAGCCCATTGAAGACGAGACAGGTGCTGTAAATTAGTGGCCCATAAGGAAGCTGTGAGGAAAACAGTCTCTGGACAATAATACATGGCAAGTGATGGAAATGCTTTCTACAGGGGGCAGCTTCTATTCTAAATTTGGCTGATTACTGATGACCTTGGTCATGTCCTGAGCTCCTTTTCCTCTTCCCACCATTTCCTTTTCTCAAGAGTAACTACTATTATGAATTTTGTGTTGACTGTTTTCTTGCTTCCCTTTATAATACCACTACAGGTTTGCCTCCTTATACAATACATTGTTTACCATTGCATGTTTTTGAACTTGACATAGAATAATTCTACTTAGGTAGACTTTCCAGTGACTTTCCCACCTCAACATTATATTCCTGAGATGCCTCCATGCTGTAGCACATAGCTGTAATTTATTCAGTCTCCTTGGCATTCTCTATTGTGATTTGTCCATCCCTCTGTTGGACATGTGGGTTGCTTCCAGGTATTTGTTTCCATAAACAGTGCATCTATGCATATTCTGCATGTGGTTCCTGATGCACACATGTAATTTTCTTTAGGACGCATATGTGAAGAGTGGGATTGTTGGCTCCTAGGGTATGTGTAACTACAGCTTTATTAGGTATAAGTTGTGCATAGGAGTGTACTGTATACAGTTCCCACTAGTAGTATATAGAGTTCGGTCATTCTACTCTCTTGCTAGCATTTGATAATATTTTAGTATGAAATGAGTGTGAAATGGGATGCTATTGTCTTATGTATGTCTTCCCAGATTAGTAATGGAGTTAAGCATCTTTTCATTTGTTTGTAAACCATTTGGGATTCTCCTTCAGTGAAATGTCTTTTGTCCATTTTAATTGTTTTTATTGTTGTTATTTTGTGTGTGTGAATTTTAATAGTACTTTATATTCTGAAAAATAATTAGCAGTTCTATGTACATACAATTTCTTTTTCGAGTCTGTGGTTGTGTCTCTTCACTCTGTGCTTAGCGTCTTTTCAAGAATGAAGTTTTACATTTTAATGGTGACAAATTTATGATCTTTTCTCTAGGGTTTGTGTTTTCTGTGTCTTTTTTTTTTTTTTAATTTTATTATGTTATGTTAGTCACCATACAATACATCATTGGTTTTTGATGTGGTGATCCACGATCCATTGTTTTCGTATAACACCCAGTGCTCCATGCAGTATGTGCCCTCCTTAATACCCATCACCGGGCTAACCAATCC